GCCCATATCCAACCACCTCCTTCCTGCTGTTCCCCTACTCATTTGTACCAGTTGTACCGATTTAATTATTTCTTTACAGAACTTCCTGTTCATAAATTGAGTTCGTAGATGCTCAAAAATTGTCTCCATTTTTTTCATTCTCTAGAAAAAACACAGATTTTATGGACATATTAAAATACATTATTTTTATGTTCACTTTTTTTCAGCATCATGTCCGTTGACGGTCGAACGATCATCGAAAGAATTTGGAATCCACATGCATGTTTTGTAAACAGCAAACTGGCCAACATCCATACAAGCCCATTCAAGAACATCTTTCTACAAATTTACAGTAACGGCAGTATCTGGTACAATTACCGTATTAAACTCACAGGACCCTGTTCAAATACATTGAGGTTGGTGTTTTTTTACAATTACAACAAGACTAACTCGTGTTTGAAAACAACTCTGTAAGAAACTGTGAACAATGCCTTTTAAATCATTTCAAACTTACCGAGGGACACTTCAGGGACTTAAGCTTGCATCACCGCTCAGGGTTTGGTTCTCTGTCGATCCCCTGAATAATCAGAAATTGAACTGGCACTATTTACGGATTACGAATAGACATTTGAACTGAAAAGGAGAAACGTCGTTTGCTTCAGATGGCTTTTGGGAGGTGAGGGTAGTTAGTGAGAAATCCTGACGCCAACGCTCAATCAGACCGTGTAAAGTTCCAAATAAATACTCCTAATCACCAACTTCGAATATCTTACGTCCTCATATTCGAACATAATTGATGTATTTCGAAGTCAATCCAAGCGTTTAGGACGTTTCCCATTGACCAACAACGATGTATGCTGTTCTACGAAAGCTTTACGCATAATCATGATCAGGTACGGTTAAGGCCCAGAGAACTGGTATTGTGTTGTTTTATGTGACTTTGATGTTATTGTTGTTTATTAGATGTCAAGTTTGTGTGAGGCCAGCAGGCTACATCAAGTAAAAATGATAAAACCCAACTGCAGAAGGGTACAACAGGCATATGGAAAACATAAATGAAACACGATATGACGAGCTAATATAAGAGACCATGGATTGAGTAGAGGAAAGGGTAGGGGCTCGTTCACTGCCAGATAAAGTGTGGTGGTGGTGGGTGGTGAATGGTGGTGATGGAGATTGAGATGACATAAGATGGTGGTGGTTGGATGTGGTTGAGATAAGATTTGAAAATGTTTATGGAAATAGGGAGGAAACTTGGTGTAGTGAACTGTTTGTACATATACTGACAGGGCGCGATACAGATGTTTTGGTTCACCATGTTATTTTTGGGGTGGCTGCGGATGGAACTTAGAGGAACTAGGGTGAATGGTGCAGCACTCTAATTCTCAGGCCAAAGTGCAAGCTATAAGTTAAAGCACTCCTTTCAAATGGCCAGAATGATAATTAGGAAGAGAAATGCTCGGGAAAGCAAAGTGACAGTTCAGAGATGGCCTATTTCATATCACCTTTCTTCACCTCCATGTGTTGGTCGTCGGCTTACTCGAACTTGAGAAGTCTCTCATGAGTATTCCCTTGATAGATGAAATTTGATGCAATTGAAGACCGTTCACATTCCTGTTCCTGCCAGTAGGGTGCACGGGGTCCCTTGCTTAAGATTCATAGATCCTCCCTCCAATTCACCACGATTGATTACCAAGGGAGCAGATTAGTTTTGGAACGTTGACGATCACCTCTGATAGTGTGATCCTTCCAAATTCATTCTTCATTTCTTACCCAGGTAATGAGTCTCGCGGGGTTCGATTAGGTTGGGTTGGGTGGAGAACGGCAGATGGGAAAAAATATTGGTACTGGTATACACATTCCAAAAAGACCCCGTGAATGTTGGCAAAAGCCTAACCTGTTTTATAGGGAGTAGCGGGAAAGTGAGACTGAAATTAAACTTAATTAAGGTGGAAAAACGAAAAAGAGGGGCAGAGATGCTGAAGCTTTTCTCCAGCATTTGATTTTTTTAGGTGGAAATGGAATGGATTGATACGGTTCCGCCGATTACGATTATGAAAGGAAATATCACTCTGCCAGATTATGTACTTGTCGATTTTTCGGCTAGCAGTGAGCTACGGGTGAGGTTTTCTTTTATAAAAATGAACTTTTACCTATTCATCTCCAAACGGTGGCAGCATATGGGTAGGGTCTTCTTACTGTTCACAGGACCTTTTGGCTCAAAACGAACACCGAATCGAAGGAGTTCACTCAAAACCAAATCAACAGGGCAAACATCCTCAACTCAAAAATTGCGCCAGTTAGGTCAGACACCTGTAAATAGTCCGGCTATTCAAGCATGAAAGTGTCCCTGGGCCCCATATGTGGTGGAAGCCCTCCTTGAGGTGCTCCAAGAAGTGTTTCCGACCGGTTTTGATGACAGCGGTTTCCATTTGATCTAATAAAGTTAGGTTTCGTTAATTTCAGCTCTATCCGCCTGGTATTTTCAATGAGCTGATCGCTACGTTCACTTTTCAACGATTGTACGGTTTCTATATTTTACAGGTTAGACCTTTCGAAATTGTAAGTCGAAATACTGAACAAGAATTTAATTTATTTCGTTTTGTAAGCTTCCTCTCAAGCTGAAGCATCGGTTCTATTCAGAAAAGAAAATTTAACGGAGTCAGCCATCCAGAATCTCAAACAGCGACTGGCTATGTATTTGACAGTTACCTTCTTGTTTCACGCAGAGGTTATATGGGCCTTACTGAATCTATGGCAAAGGTGGTGTAGTGGCAAGTGGTGCACTATCATACATGCATGGTCACGGGTTCGAACCCTGTATCGATGCCCGCCTAGGCTAACCAAGCCTTCTATCCCTCCAGGGTCGATTAATTAGTAGCAGTCTCATCTGGAAGGACAAAGCATTGACTTGTATTTCGGCTTGCCACAAGTCAATGCATCGTCCACATAGGCATTCAATACGCCACTGCGATTCGGAGTGGAAGTGGGAAAATGGGGAAATCTCAGAAACTATTTTCATCGTGAACTGTGCCTTTAAATACGAAGAAAGTCACGGCCCCGTGCAAAGCCATTTGGCTAGCTTCGCTATTAAAAAAACCGCTCTCTTTGATATATCAAAAATGTTCTAAACAGGCAGTAAGAAGATTTTTTCCAGGTATACGTTCCCGCCTATATATCTGTGTTTATTTCTTGGGTGAGTTTCTAGCAACTGTCAATTCACTTCAATTCCTATTCTAAAAAGATTCTGAAAACTTTGTTTAGGTGTCATTCTACCTCGGTGCTGAGCAAATTCCTTCGCGAACCACCGTTGGTGTGAACTCACTGTTAGCTCTAACGTAAGTCGATGTCCGTAGGCTTCTGAACAGACAGCCAGCCTCGTGTTTCAAACATCTCAATAAAATTTTCCCTAATTTTTTTGTTGCTCTGAATTGAGTTTTTGCCCCTACTCTTGTTGAAAATCATCGGCCACATTCATTTTATTCTTGGAAACACTGGGTATGGTTGACATAAGTTTTATGGATCTAATGTTATAAACGTCCGTATTCATGCGGATAATGCGGATATACCATGGAAACTTTCATGGAAATGTTATTTCCAGGTTTCAATTTGGTTCTGTCGTCAATAATCTGCCCAAAACAAGTGATGTGAAAGGTTTGTACCAAATTTTTTATTTGGCTGCTTCTGTTTTCAATTTGCTTTAAAACGTTTTTCACGTTTTTTCTTTGAATACCTCTATGGATTCCAAAATCAACACTATGTCCCTTAGTGGCCATATAGAAGCGCAGCTTACCCACTGCATGGACTTTGCCTTTGGATTGAACTTCAGCGATAAAGTCACAAGAATATTGTCACAATGAATTTTACTTAAGCTCGAGAGTGGAGTGGAAAGCAAAACTAAGTTTACTGAGTGAGTTTCTATTGCTCTAGTAACATGATTCTGCTTTTCAGCCATTGACGTCTGGATTCTCAGTTCGATGGCGTTCATATTTGCCTCCCTTATCGAACTCGCTGTTGTAGGATATCTAACCAGAAATGGGAACCATGCCTCAATAAAGTGAGTATAGCCTTTGTTGTTGCAATTGCTTGAGAATTTATTTGCTTGTAACCTCTTTACAACCTTTGCGAATGTGTAAGTGAATGATGTTACAGACCATGTTCAATGTTCTATATTTTAACTGTAAGGGGCGGAGGTGGTGCAGTGGCAAATGGCGCACTGTCTTATACGCATGGTCAGGGGCTCGGATCCCGGATCGATATCCGCCCAGGCCAACCAAACCTCCATCACTCCAGGGTCGATTAATTGGTACCAGACTCGCCTAGAAGGATTTTAACATTGATTTGTACATCGGCTGGCCACCACAAGTCATTGTATAGGCCACATACACGTTCATTACGGCGCTACGGTTTTGAATGGAAGTCGAGGCAAGGGCGCATCCCTCAGACGGGATTGATTAACGCTGAAAGACTTTATCCTTTTCGACTATTTTAATTCGTTGTGTTGTCATGATACTTGAGACTCATCAGCCAATAGTCATGCAATCGAAGCTTTCTTTCAGCTCTTCCTTAACCATAACTCAATAGCAGTTATGTTGGGGCGCATTGCAATGCAACGGCGGGGACTGAATTCAGGATCAGTATCGACGCCAATTTCGCTGCATTACAGGGAAAATGGAAGTCCCGTGAATGATTCCATAAAGGGGGAGGGGGAGGTTCATTTGAGTATTTTGAACACAATCCCTGAAAGTTTTCTGATCTCAGGTGCCACTGCTCGTGGTTGTGTATTAGATGTCGTGATTGGACTGCAGCGAAGCTTGACAAGGTGGGCCGTAGTTGATTTCAATTTGATTCTCGTCTTCCTATTTTTCAAGTTCTAAGAAGAGTTCATCAGTTCCTGCCACTATTTCTTTTAGGCTTCATCGGTCATATTTCCTACATGTTTCCTTTTTTTCAACATTTGGTACTGGTTTGTCTTTTTAGGGTGAGTTTAGTGGTTATAAAAAGCTTTGTGTTTCCGTCATCCGCCGTAGCATTAAAATGCTTATCGCTTGCAGTTGTGGTGGCCGATTGTTTCTGCAGTCTCATTCCAAATTTTCATGAATTATTCTCCTAATTCCTTTGTCGCTGCTGCAATCTTTCCCCATGACATGTCTTTCCTACGCACTTTGTCATTGTGATGAGTTCTATGTCTATGATGGCAGAGCAATTTTATCTGTTTAACATTTAGCTCTCACTGCCGATTCTTCGCAGAATCACAGTCAGTAGCCATAGAAGCCTTTGTGCTGCTAGGGGAGCTGGGTAGTAGGAACGGTTTCGTGTAATCGATACGCCGCACGCGGCTGTCGCGGANCATTTGCCGCGCTATAAAGTTTTAGCGTTTTTCGTACAGCTCAATGCGATTATTACTTTTGACATGATTCTACTGTTAGCTCTTTTGTTCCTGAATTTCTTGATTGGTGCTGCATTCTGCTACATTCCTTTGCGCGCGGCGTCTCTGTCGCCGCGAGCGACAATTTGGTTCCTACTGCACCACACCTGTACTGCTAGTACACTTTCTCCTGCCGATTTTTTTCCCTATTTCGGGTAACATCTAACAGTCTTGCTATATTGACAGCTTTAAATGGGCACAATCGTTGGAAAAACCATGACAAATGGTACCCGCTAATTTCTAAATATTCATACCCGCCTCTTATTAGTCAGATAATACGTATTGCGTATGATACCATCATTATGCCCAACGTCCAAGCCCAAATCTATGTGTAGAGGTGCAGTATCCTTATTTTATGTAATCCTTTCAGATCGATGTTACGAACAATTTCTCTTCGAAAGGGTTGAGGCATGGCTTTCGTGTTTTTAGCATGATATTGTTTGTTAGAGAATATCGTCACCTGATGATTCTGGCATGAGCTTTGCCTGGCACTCCCATTCCCTAGAAACCTCATGCACTGAACGACTTTTTTGTACAAATGAACTATGCTCTGTTGCAGTTGAATTTTCTAAGGTTGCCAAGAAGTGCTGCAGACAGCTATGAGTCTCTTTTAATCGCCAGCCGGGAGAACGTCCGTTGCGCGCGTCCGTCGTAATAGGTCACCCCGCCCACTTCGCGCGCGGCGCACCACACAGAGGTTCCGAGTTGACATTACAGAACCTCCAAGTGTCAGTGGAGCCGAAAGATTGGCATTTGTCTGTGTTATCGTCTGTTTGAACTGACTCTTTGACCAAGCCCAAATCGTATGCCCCACTGACAACTGCGACGTCTGTCAAGTATCGCGCGCTGGCTCGCCGCGTACGACGGCTGCGGCGTGACCTAGTTTCGACGAACGCGCGCAACGAAGCGCACCCCGTCAGCCGCCCCTAAAAAGTGTCGCAGCTAGTGACGTCTTTGTAGAGGACTTTAACCACTCAGGTGGTCTACCAAAGTTGGAAACGGGCAAAATTAGGCTTACCGGAGCTTGTAAGAATCGTTTTAATAAGGGAATCCGATCGCCCTCTCCTGATAGGGTGTTTTTTATTGTTGTAGCCCAATTTTTAGCCATCTCGTAATCGACATTATAAAGGTTTCGTACAGAAGGAGGTGGACGTCCTATATTCTCTCCAGGTGGCTTTGTGAGGTGGGTAGAGCAGAGGTTTCGACAGAGGTCCGCGCTGATGCTTATAAACGATGCCTTGATAGAAGGTTTTGAACTAGGATATAGCAGCGGAAGAGGAGCTGCGGGAGTTCCTAATGTGACCATTGTATCTTTTTAATGGAATTTCGCCAAAAGAAATGTGGGAAAGTTTAATTATGATAATTTCGTTATTAATTGCATGACTTTCAAGTAAGTCAATAGTTGTTAGCTCTACGTGCTCCTACTTAATCATTCTCATGGACTCAAGCCTCCTTTGTCTCGTTTTACACGGCTCCTTAACCCATTGACGACCATGCAATCCACATGTGGACTGCACCTTTTCGGCCACGTGGGACCATGCAGTCCACATGTGGACTGCAGTTGTATTTTTTTGTTTTAATTATCTACATATCCATTTTTTACAATTTTCCTTCTC